AAGTTTCCACACTGATTCTCTTGTCATTCTATTTTCAATGTAGTCATTAATTTCCATGCGCAAATGGTCTTTGAATGACTTGTTTATTGCAATATCAAGGGTCTGCAGATAGGCAGTCATTCCCGCAGAATCATTATTTGATCTATTCTTCTCTCTGCAAGGAAGTTCTTCCATGTCTTTTGACAGTAGTAGCTGGCTGGATTCACTAGAACTAGCAGACATCTTTGGCCACTTGCAAACAAGTGAGCATTAAATCAGCCACTCCTCATAACTGCTTGTGTCCCAGCCTTTCGGGTTTTCAAGAACATAGTGTTGGAACAGAACGTGTTGAAAACACGTTCAATCTTATCTTTCTTGCCCTTAGTGATGACAGATGTGTGACTTTCTTTCCAATCCATCACGGGATTGCCAAAATAAGGTAACGCGCTGAGTTTCATGACCAAATGGGGAACGTAGATTGAGGAGGCACCCTCTGTTCAATTGTTGTTGGGCTTCCTTGACCCATAACACTATTCAGTTTCATCCGTAGCAATCATGTTGCAAAAGTTTTGATTTAGAAAGTCGGATTGCTAATCAACAAAGGAACTTGAATGCATAGTGCTTGCTTAATAATTCAGATCTCAAATTAAACAGTGTCGTCGATTTTCTTTAGAGACAGTTCATATCGCTGAAGGAAGGCATCCAGCTTAGTGTTGTGGATGCTTATGAAATCTTCTGGGATATTTTAATTTGCGCCATTGCAAGGGCTAATCTTGAATATCGAGCCCTGCGCCACAACAAAGCCTTTTGCTCCTCCATCTCTCTTTTTTTTGTGAAGCCTAGCCTGCAAGAGGTCTTGATTTAGGTGAAGAAGTCATGGGATAAAATCACTGATAGTGTTGTTACCAACGCACTCCGAGCAGGTTACATGGATAAGAGCTGCTCATTTACTGAAAGCTCTATTGCTCGACATGAGAGATTGGGGCCAATGGTTCTAAAGGAAATAGAGTCGAAAGAAATTCAGGATGGTAGAAGTAATTTAAAATGTTCAAAAAATAAAAAAAAATAAAAAAATAAAAAAATAAAAAGAAATTCAGGATGGAATTTGGGGTTTGGAGAGTTATGATGATGTTCCAGAAGACGACAACCCAACTATATTTGAATAAATGTAGATGGTTGTACCGTACTTAAAAAAAAATAACACATCCCTGAAAATAAGCCCTAGGGTGTCTTCTTGAGGAAAAAGAAATATAAGACCCTGTCTTATCTTCAGGGAAAAATGGTAGTAATAATGCACTGTAATACTGTAGTAATAATAATGTTAATAGTACCCCTGTATGGTAATATTAATAATAAGTTACAGAAACTGTTGTGCTCTTTCTTTTAATTCCTAGGCTAATAGGAATGTTACTCTTATTTTAGTCTTCTCACCAAATCAATAATAACCTTTCCACTTCAGTAATTAATCCACTATGCTGTGTAGCAATAACTGATGCTTTCACTGGGGCACTGCCTTTCACACGTCCCATCATTCTCACTTTATCCTTTATAATTGTCCCGATAGTCTAGTGACGGAAGCCTAATGCTTTCCCTAATAAATGATGGTGTCTTGGCCTTGCTCCGAACACTTAATTATTTCTACTTTCATTTCTGTTGTCATTACATATCTCTTCCCTGCAGCCTCACCTGGACTTGCAGTGAGCTTTTGCTTTGGAGCCGTGGGCATCGAGGTAAACAAAGACTCACAAAATCAAATTGAAAAGTTAAGACGAAAGAGACGCTATGCGTACATGACTGTGTACATAAGACCAGCTACTACTGTAAAGAGCTGCACCAACGGGCTGGTTATGCCCCATGTGGGTCTGACATGCGTGGAGGACACTAGTTCCTGAATTATTAATTTAATTATTTTAATTAAATTCATAAGTAAGGAACACTGTACGTTGGGTTGTCCCTACCCCAGGCACTGCTTCTATACATATATATTTTCTTTTCTATGGACTTGCATAGAAAACCTTCTCTTTATTTAACAAAGAATGCGGTATAGACCCAAGGGAGGAACAGAAAGAAACCGCCTGGGTGGAAGAGATCATGGTCCACGTACACATTTGACATGTGGCAAGGGAGGTTACAAAGGCAGAGGGACATGGAAGAGTCAGTTGCTTGGTGGGCTTGGAACAAAGAGACATACACTCAGAACAATTCCTCACTTCATATTGGATCAAAAAACAAATTCCATTTCTATTGCTCCATGCCAAAAATCAAATCGTTAAAAAGTAAAACTGTAAGAAACTAGATAATCTCATTTTATGTTGGACGGAAAGACTTTCTAAGCTTAAGAAAAATGAAAACTTAAATGTATACACTGCTTTAACTACTACTCAATATCACATCAAAACTGATTAATTGGTATGAACAGTAATTGGATATGTGTGCATATGTGTATATAATAAAAAAGGACTTCCAGGCTGGGCACAGGAGTCACACCTATAATCCTAGCACATTGGGAGGCTGGGGCAAGAGGATTGCTTGAGCCTGGGAGTTCGAGACCAGCCTGAGCAAGAGTGAAACCCTTTCTCTAAAAAATTTAGCCAGGCGTGGTGGCTAACAGTCTATAGTCCAAGCTACTCAGTAGGGTGAGGCAGGAGGATCACTTGAGCCCAGGAGTTTGAGGTTGCAGAGAGCTATGATGACACCACTGCACCCTAGCCCAGGGTGACAGAGACTCAAAAAGAAAACAAAAACAAAAAAGAAAGAAAAAGGCACTTCCACACATTGACTCAGAAATTCTACTTCCTTTTGGAAGCCTCCCTACAAACATGATTAGAAATCTGGAAAAGGATTTACTTTCAAATATGTTCAATGTACTAATACTCTTGGAGGAAATTTAATGCTTCTGCTGTCAGGAGCAAGGGCTCCCTAGGTTCTGCTAGGAGCACACGGCTGAGATCAGGCCGCCCTTACTCAGCCATCGACAAACCCTGGGCACCCTCTCTGCCTGCACCGCTCCAGGCTCTGGGGACACAGTCAGCACAGGATAGGGATTAGAAGAAGGCCCCGCAGAGTGGGTGGTCACCATGTTGGGGCAGCTGCTCTGGCCCATGCTCCCTGTTGCCTACAGTCCCTCTGTCCCTAAGGCTCCACTTTACCCTGGGTCAGGACAGCCGAGGCACCGTCCTCGCCCTGTACCTACAAAGTCCTGAGCCAGAAGCAGGACCGGGACACGGAATGGCTGACCCCACTCACCAGCAGACCCTCTGACTTCCCTGGAGATGTTACAATGACACCTGCCAGCACTTCTGGCTCCTGGCATTCCATTGTCTGCTGAGAGTCCATGGTGGAACAAGAGTCTCTGTTGCTCAGGATCTCGTTGCAGGAATTGTCCTCATCCTCAGCCCCTCCTGGGGACCTCCCGTAGCAGGAGAACTTGGGGAGGCAAAGAGCAGACTCAGGAGTCCACTCAGGGCCCCCACAGCTCCCCCGGGCACTGCTGCTTCTGCCGTCCCTACCCCTCCCAGTGGGGTCACCCCAGGTGGGCAGAGGCTGAGCACATCCAGCATGTGCTGCTGGCACCACGCCGCTGGTCACACCCATCCCCAGGGAGCAGAGCTGCGGGGTGGGGGTGTCACCCACGCTGCAGGAAGGACAGGGCTGCAGCACGGCCCACTGGGCTGTGGGGTGCCCAAAGCAGCCATGTGCCCTCACGGTCAGCCAGAGCCCCGGCCACTGCAGAGAGCCAGCACAGCATGCAGGACAGTGGGGACGCCCCACCCAGGGCTCCGTGTGGGCAGGAAGCAGCTCCTGAGCACCCGGTACCCCCAGGTCCTAGAGAAACCAACTCACTCTCACCTTCCTCTTGAGGGCCTTGCAGCATCCTGGAAGAGAAAAGGGGTCTCCTAGCAAGGGGGAGGGGCCCATGTAGCACCCCCTCCCTGAGGGCAGTGTCCGGGCAGGGCTGGGCTAGTGGCTGAGACACTGGACAAGCAGCCCCGGCCTGGGGACAGGGATGGGGCCTTTCCAACTCTGGGGCACCCTCAGGAGGGGCAGGAGGAGAAAATAGAGTAAAAATAAACACATGTGAAATCTGTGTGGTTCCGCGCTGACCAAAGCCTTATGAACCCCCTGGGCACGTCTGGTCCTGGCCCTGGTCCCCAGTGGAGGAGCCGACGCCCTCTCTGCCCTGGCTGGCCCTGAGATGGAAGGGGGAGGGGCCGCCCCGCCCTCCAGACTTGGAAGAGGAGGGCTCCCCAGCCCCGGGAGAGGGACTGATGACATCCTGGTCTTGGATGGGGCGGGGGTGCACATCAGGTGGGAGACAGAGGGACCACCACAGGGTGACAAGGACTTGGGGGACAGGGGAGGATGCTTCTGCCTGTGAAGCAGAGTGGGGGAGGGGCAAAGAGTACCTAGCAGCCCCTCCCTCAGCCAGCACATACCTGTGCAGGTGCACCAGCAAGAAAGACCTATCAGCACCAGCGATAACACCAAAACTCCGACCACAATAACAATAGCTTCGCTCTTTCCTGGCTGGAGCCCACTGCCTGAGGAAGAGAAGGGAGAGGTGGAATTGTCCGAGCTGGTGGTCACTGACCCTCTAGGACTCGGGGCTTCCCCAGACGTCTTAGTACCTGATCCTTTGGGGACACACACAAGGTCACTCCAGGGTGTACAAGTTCTATTCTCGACCATGCCATCAGGGCACCTGGGTACACACAGGGAGGAGACGTGGGATTCCATGAGGGAAAGCTGGCCAGATGAGATGAAAGAGGAGCCACTCTGCCATCCACTGTCCTTGAGCAGATGACAGAGATAAGACGGGCTTCTCTTGTCTCTGGGATCCCCCTCTCCCTTGCTGAGTCCAGGGAAAAAGCTGAGCACGTGAACTGCAGCCCCTCAGGCTCACTGCTCCGTGGTCAGGGCTGCGGCCTCCAGGAGCCTCCTCTGCTTGGCACACTCGGGGCTTCCCTGGGCCGCAGCGGGCGGGGGGTCCTGAGTTAGCAGGACCCTCCCTCCAGGGCAGGGGGAGGCCCGCGTGGCCACAAGCTGAGCCACATCCTTCAGCCAACCCTAATACCACTGAGCTCCCGTCCCTACCTGTCTGCACGTCCCTCCCAGTCACAGCAAACACTGGGGTCAGAGAAGAGTCATAACTGTTGGCCCCTAAAGCCCCAAATAGGGACAAGACAGTTCTTGAGGGACAAGGGGCAGGGTGAGGACAGCTCAGTTGGCTCAGGTCAGGGAAATCTAGAAGGAGCTACACCCATGGCCTTATTATGAACTCTGTGGGCCACTGGCACTTTTGTCTGCATGATCCCTGCTTGGATAAAATAATTATTAAAAATTGCATTTTAGGACTGAATTGGTTTAAGGATAAATATTAATACATCCCAGGCTGGATCCTTTGTACGTAAGATTTCAAAATAAAATATTTCATAGACCCCTAAGGATATCATAGGCCCTAAGTCGTGCCCTCCTGTGCCCAGTGGGACACGTGCCAGGGAAGTGTGGGCAGGGGCTGCGGCAGCGGGCTGGGGTGGGGACAGGCAGATGGGCCAGGATGGGCCACTTCAGTCTCAGGACACACCACAGGGTCAGGGATGCCCCAAGAGGGTCAAGACCCCATGGAGTTCAGGGGACAGAAAAGGCTACAAGGAAATGGGTCTTTTGGGGTCAAGCCTGCCTGTCCTGTCTCACCGAGTGCGGCACTTCTGGCAGAACTCAGGGGAATCTTCTCCCCGGAAGGTGCCTGCTTTGCACTGACACTCTCTGTTTGCGGTCATGGTGCAGGGACTGCTCTCCTCTTCATCTGCAGACAAAGGAAAAGTCTTTGGGGATACGTTTCCTTGCTGTGTCCCTCACCCCTTCCTCACCACCCTGACCCCTTTCCACTCAGCTCAGCTCAGGTCACCAAGGAGCTCTGAGGGCCAGTTTCTGCACCAATGCACTCGGGGCACACAGAGGACAGCCACCCTTCAGCTGTCACCAATAGTCAAAGTCATACAAAAGGCATCAACATTCATTATCTCTTGCATCAGGTTAGGGGAAAAAATTGTTTAGATAATATGGTCCGTAGGTAATAAGGGACATGCAGGTATGGAACCTGAGAGACCCTGGCAGGACAGGAGCCCTTGGGTGACTTCCCTAAAGCCTGGCCCGTTGGTGAGGAGGAAGGGGCCTGAGGAGATGAGGTTGAAAGAGGCGGAGCCACCTCCAGGAGCCAGGAGCTGGGTGGAGGCCCGCCCAGGGCCATAATTTGGTCATGGCTGAAACCCAGCCCTTTCCCCTGGGCCACATCTTCCCCATGCTTTAAGTTACCCTTCGCCCTCTTGCAAGGGTAAAAGACTTCCCTCCCAGGTGGCATGCATCATAAAAATAATTTCTGTTTTATGTATTTAATGACCCAAAGATATAATCATGGAACAACTGGGTATGAAGACCAAGTGGGACTGGAATCCAGGTCTCCTGGTTTATTTATGCTACAAATTTCTTATCATCCTGCTGCGTTCCATGTTCAGGCTTGGGGTCTACATCTACCTGAATTACAAATGGAACAAAGTAGGCAGGAAGGGAGGGCATTCCGATGAGTGGTGTAGTCTACTCCATAAATGCAGGAGGGACAATCTCTACTATCTTCCGACATATGGGTTCCTGGGAGGGGAGAGAAAAAGCTGATGAATGAATCTTGACAGTTCAGCCTTTGTGAACTTTGGCCTGGGCTCCTCCTTCTCCGTGTTCTACCCCTAGACAAGCCCTCCTGAGCACTGAGGGTTTGCCCTCTTGAAAGGGAGGGGCAGCCCCTCCTGTGGTGCCCCGTAATGAAATCCAAATCTATAAATGGTTCTAAAAATCACTGCATGCTACTCTTGCCACCTGTAGAAGCCCTTGGGCAGCAGGCGATGTATTTCCATCTCCCACTGTGTAGAAACAAGTGTGAGACAAACACAGCACTCAAGCAGCCTGGACAGGCACAGCTGCCACTCCTGGGGCTAGAGGACCCCACAGAGCTGAGACACCCGCTGCCTTCATAGCATGCCTAGGGAGTGCCCCCATAAGGTCTTCCATCTGTGTCCTGTCTTGCCTGCCCCCTTCCATGAAGGAGTGAGCACTAAAAATACCAATTGGTTCTTGGCAACCCTTTGCTGAAAACTTCCAACAATATGAATCACCCACAAAATAAAACCCAACTCCCTCCATGTGTAATCTGCCCAAACTTGTTCCCTGCCCTCTCCTCCCTCCACTCACCCCAGCTCCTGTCCCCTGAGCACTCACTGCTGTCGGGCCCTCTCAGGAGTGCTCTTCCAGGCTCTAGGCACTGCTGGTCCTACCAACTTTGAGATGCCAGCTCAGTGTCACCATCCCTGGGAGGCCTCACCAACCCCATCTCTGCCCCACTCAATGAATCCTCAAGGTTCCTGCCAGGCCTCTCTGACTGTCATGTTCATCCCTTCCCAGAAGGGATCCCATCCTCCTGGCCGCACTACACAGTGCTTGACTCACCGAAGGCATCTGATAAATCCCTGCAATAACAAACCAGGAGTTCAGGAGGCAGAGCCTGGAAGCTCGTGGAGGCAGGAGAAGAGGAGAAAGGATCATAGAATGTACCTGGTGGACACAAACCGTCCTCGGGGCTGTGCCTCCATCGCTGGGGGGCAGGTGTCAGCTGGGGAACCCCATCCTGCTTGGTGGTGGCAGAGTCAGCTAGGACCTGTGGGGTCAAAGCAGGGACAGACATGAGTGGCTTCCAGACTCTCACCCCTCCCAGGATCCATCTCACCTTCCCTTCACCCCAGGTGCACAAACTAAACAGAACCTCTGTCTTTCTTGAGCTCTGAACTCTCCAACATTCTTTTATATTTATGTTTGTCCCTTCACATCCCAGGACTGGCCACATAACCTCCACTAGCAAAGCTTTTCTTTATCCTTATCTCTTATTATAATAGAAAACATGTTTATTCCAGAAAATGTGCAAGTAAAGTTTTTAGAATAATACAAAAACCACAAGTGAGATTCTCAACTAGAGCTATTAATAGCATCAATATTTTATGTCATGTAGTTCCACTGTTTGACCATCTATATCAATAGGCTCCCTCTTTCTCTCATTCTCCAACATACACACACACACAAACACACACATGTTCTTAAAACTGGAGGTTCACTGTATGCAAACTTAAAAAAAATTGGGATCTAGGATCAAATATTAAATAGTGAGCTTCTGATTTTAAAAAAAGCACCTAACATATAGAGCAGTGGAATAGAACAGAGGAACCCAGAAAGAATGCTCACACACAGTCATATATTGCTTACAGACAGGGACATGCTATGAGAAATGAATCCTTAAGCAATTTTGTCCTTGTGCAAATGTTATAGCGTGCACTTACACAAACCTAGAGGGTATAGCCTGCTATACACTGAGGCTATATGGTATAGCCTGTAGCTCCCAGGTTACAAAGTGGTGCAGCATTGTCACTGTCCTGAAGACTGTAGACAATTATAATACAACTGTAAGTATATGGGCATCTAAACATAGAAAAGGTACAGTAAAATTATGGCATTATATTCATAAAAGGCCACCATTATATATGTGATCCGTCATTGACCAAAACATGTTGTTATGTGATGCATGACTGTATATGGTCAAATTATACCTTTGTATTAACTTTTTGACAAAGGTACAAAAGTCATTTAATGGGGAAAGGACAATCTTTTCAAATAATCATTTTGGGAAATCCGGATATTGACTCATAAGAAAACAGTAAGCTTGTATCTTTGCCTTACATATATACAACAATTAACTCAAAATTAACTCAAAATGGATCAAAAATCTAACTATAACAGTGAAAACTATAAAACTCTTAGAAGAAAACACAGGCAATTCTTCATGACCTTCGATTTGGCGATGATTTCTTGAATATTACATCAAAAACATAGGCAACATAAGAAAAAAATAGATAAATTCGGACTATGTAAAAATATAAAAATTTTGGGCATCAAATGACAATCACCAGAGTGAAAGGGAAACCCACAGAATGGGAAAGACATTGGCAGATTATATATCTGATAAGGGTTTATTATCTAGAATATATAACGGATTCCATCTCATCCATCACAACAAAAATCAAACAATCTGATTAAAAAATGGGCAAAGGACTTGAATAGACAAGCTTCTGAATGACCGATGAGTCAAGAACAAAATTAAATGGGAAATTGTAAAATATCTTAAGAAAATGAAAATGAAAACACAGCATACCAAAACTTATAGGATGCAGCAAAACAAGTTTTAAGAGAAAACTGCAATAAAAGCCTATATTCACCCACATTATCACAGGTATCAATATTTCATCCCTTTTTATTACTGAGCTGTATTGTGGAATTAGTATTATAATATTAATGTAAAATATAAAGTACTTGAAATAATAAATATCCATTCATCACCACCACCCACTCTTCTGCTGTAATTGCCTTAGGTACGTGAATGTGTTACAAACCCCACAAGCACTGTTATATTATTTGACAATGTATCTTTTCAAGAAATAAGGAGGAAATAATACTTCTTTATCTGTGCTTTCATATTTCTATTTCTAACAATATTCCTCCCTTCCATAAGATTCATGTTTCCATTTTGTGTTATCTCTATTTAGACTGAAATCATCACTTAGCCTTTTGTGCACCGCAGGTCTGCTGGCAACGAAAAGTCCATAGCGTCTCAGAAATCACACTCAGATTTCAGATTCCTAATGCTTCTTATTTTTGTATTTTTTTTGAGATAGGGCCTTGCTCTGCTGCTGCAGCTAGAGTAGAGTGGCATCATCATGGCTCACTGCAACCTCAAACTCCTGGGCTTAGCCTCCACATAGCTGGGACTACAGGTGCATGCCACTTGGCCCAGCTAATTTTTCTATTTTTTGTAGAGATGGGATCTTGCTCTTGCTCAGGCTGGCTTGGTTCAGGAATTCTGAACTCAGGGGCCATTTTCCTCCTTTTGGCGCCTCCCAGATTGGCTTTAGGGGTTAACAAGGCAATTAGACAACTGCCCAACCATGGCCCCACAGATTTTTAATTCTTAATTCCATTTAAAATGCCCATTTAACTCTTTTTTTTGTTAATGACTGAGACAACTCTCAGATTTAGGAAAAAACTAAATCCACCCCTAATTGGCTTTTTCCTCTGGCCAAACATCCATATTGCATTCAGCTTTGCCTTGTTTTTTTTAACCATGTCGCTGCCCCGCCAAGAACCCCATGTTTTGGCTGCGGCTTCCTTCCTTTTCAAAAGCGAATGGTGTTAAAACTTGAAAAAACCACTACAACCTAAACCCAACTAGCCCCACACATCGCTGGGGGCGTGGCGGGCCACTTTGCCTTGAGGGGTTTCCACCAAATCCTAATCACTTACACACTTTGGGCAACCAAACTGTCTTTTTGGAAGTTACTTGAATTTTGGTTCAGGGATGTTCCCTTTTTGGGGACCTCTTGGGTTTTCTGGGACTGTTTTCCTCGGCAATCCTATTTCACATTCCTCTGCTCCTCCTTCACCTCAAACCCCTGGGCA